GGTCCAGCAAGGGTGTCCCCATTTAGTTTTAATATCAAAGAGATTTGACAGTGCATTTTCTCCATATTCTTTTAAAACAAGTTCATGGAAATTATTTCCATGGTGGTGATGAGTATTGAAGTACTTCATCCTTGCCACCGTTGTTGAACAAACTAACACTGGTTCAGCTAGAAGGAAAATCACTGTGGTTATGTGGGACTTCATTTATCTATTTGTATCTATTTAAAATTTCCCCAGGGTGCCAAGGAGCCTTGATTAATTTCTTCCCCTGTTTCTGCATCAAGAAACTATAATTCTGGACGTCTCCCAAAGGACGGAGTGACCTGATTTTTGGGAAGAATATCTGGGGGGAAGATCAGCTCAATATCCCCATCCTGCCCAGGAGGCAACTTAATCTTCTGTGTGAGGGTTGATTAGATGGGGCTATTTCTAATAGACCTAACATAGTCTATCAGCATGGGATGGGGAGAAAAAACATTTGAGGGCCTAATTCTTTCCCAGTGAGTGTAATCAATGGAAGATTTGCCATTTACCTCAATGAAGGAAGACTAAATCAGGAAGTTTGTTCTTGCCCAACAGCTCTAATTTCTTAAAGATTAAGTACATACCCAACTTATTTCACCTCAGTGTGAAAATAAAGCAAAACACCCAATGACTTCAATCTGTTTTGACCAGTTGTAATGGAAATATTGCATTACCCTATTGCCAGTCTCACGTATGTACAGCTGCAGCAGAGTTCATTAATCTACAACTGACAGGATAGTTATTACTGTACAGCAAAAATGTTCTAGTGACTAAGGGCAGCATAAACAAGCCTCCTTTACATGGCTACAAGACTTTGCCGTCACACCTAGCTTAAAATTACTTTTTTATTTTTAAATTACAAAAGTATCCCTGATTTTATACTATGCCCCAATTCCAGACCACGGCCACCAACAAATCTGTCTTATAACAGGCCAGCAACCTGTGACAGCATCAGTCAATAAAGCAGAATAATCATAGGACAGTCATTCTCTCTGTCCACTTGTCTTTTTAACGAGGGACAGCTTTCAAGGCCAATCCATAAGATGGGAGCATAAATAATGTTTTCTTCTGAAAAATGGCAGCAAGGTTTTCAAACGTTGGTGTGTGGTCAGACATTCTGAATTCCACACCACCACCATGGAATGACAAACAAAAGAAACTGTATCTGTGCTATGCAGGTGTCAATACACTGTGGACTGTGATCAGCCCAAATCGGAAGAAGTTATGGTGCAACACTGGGAGTTTGAGATGCAAATTTCCCACAACTATCAAGTTTTCAGGTACAAGTTAAAGCAAATATGCCGTATCTGCTAGACTGCAGATATCCCATAAGCCATCAGAAGGGTAGATCCAACCCACAAGGCAAATCTAGCCAACTATCTTACAATTATCCCACCAAAATTTTCACTTGTGGAAGGAAAGGGAAGGCCATTACTGTTGATTATTAGCTCTCTATGACAGTAGCCTCAACAGCCATTCTGAGGCCCCAAAGAGTAGCAGTGATCTCAGCTGCCCATTAGGCTACCCAGAAACTTGTATCCAGCCAAGGCATGGGAAACGTTGGTCCCTTCTGTTCTACACAATCTCAAGCAATGACTACGCTATGGAATTTGAGTATAGTTCCAGGGACATATTCTCCTTGCTGAGGCTTACACCATTTGATCTGGTAGAAAGCTAAGGCCTAAGAAGGTAAATCCAGGCACAGTTGTATGATAAGTACTAACTTCCCTCCCAGCTTTGCCAGTCAGTGTTAATCTTAGGCCATCTCAGTCATCTCCTAAGCAGCATCACACAGTGGTTCTGTGTATCCAAAGCATAGATAAGGCACAACTTTCAGGGATCCAACTCCACCTTCATGACTTCATGGCAACACCCAGCCATAGGATGGGGACAGTGCAGCTGCTATACCCTGTGCTTCTCTCATTGCATGGAGACTGCAGTTGTGCTCAGCATCCTAACCATTCTCCAAGACCTTCAGTGTCATGGCCAGGCTTACAGAGAAGTCATTAATAGAGAACAGAGTAGGACTAGGGAAAGGTGTTCATAGAAGATTGGTCAATAATCTGTTCTGAGCTCTGTTTTCTGAGGTACCTGCTCATTCCCATTTGCTCTTTACAGAGGAAAAACCAAAAACTGCTCTTCCTGAAATGCTCACTAATCAAAGGCAGAGAGAGGTAAAGATCCCAAATCCATATTTAAGATCATTCAAGTAGCAGAACAAAGGGAGCTCCCCAGAAAGGAACCCCACCAAGGTGCTTCACCACAGGGCAGGCCATGCTATTCAAGATATTACATGTCTGTGTTCATAAATGGTGCACTCACCTTGGGAAGAGAGTATTTGGGCAATTTAATCTGTGCGAAAGGCTCCCGTCTGTATGACACATAGTAATTTGCTCTTCCACCAGCTGTCACCTGTGGAAACACCAAAGAAAGTGAGTGATGACCCTTCCAAGACACCGCATGCTGACACCTCTAAGAGGGTTTGACAACATTTCTTTCAGAAGTCTTTTCTATGACCTGCACAGCTGTCCCTAAAAGCACCTGTATAACTCCAAAGAAATCCCAGACTTGAGAAGGCTGGAGCATTATTTATTTAAGCTGTGCTATTGAACTTTCCATTTTGTCTCTCACGCTTCAAATCCAACATGATTTTTAACATCTCAGGAAAATGTGGGTATAAAGTTTAAGGTCTTGAGTGGAACCAAGAAGATGATCTGGTTTCATCACATGGTTCCAGCACAACTACCTTGGGCAAGTCATTTAACGTCCCTGTGCTTCTTTTCCTGTCCTGTAAGAAGGAGATAATATGTCTTTTCTCTGCTGCTTCTCAGCATTGTCTGTTTGCACTGTAAGTCCCTTGGGGCCAGGGTTGTCTTCCAACAACCTTTTACAGTGACTAACAGCAGAGATCCACACTAGCGCCATTTAATGCAAACACTAAATGCAATGAATACACTCTTGGAAAGCTGGAACTAAGCTCTTAGATGCTCATTGTCGCTATAAAACTGGTTTCTCTGAAATCATACTGTCTCTGAACAAGGGTGTGGAGGGAACTGATAGACATCCAAATCTGCGGTTTTATGGACTGAATGAGCTGTAAAGGCTACACATAAATGCTATGCATCAATGAGATCTAGGCCTGATAATTTGTAAAATATGCGATTTTAAAGCTGTCACTAGTCACTTACTTTTGCTGTGGGTGTTATTTCTGGCACCATTTCAGTCCTGGCTACAACAAGGCTTACCTCGGTGAATTTCCTATATTCTGCTGTTTTGGCAGTCTTGCAGATTTTAAGATAAAACAATACACAAAGCACTTCTCTATCATATGGAATGTCATTTGTTGGCTTCTTAAGTTTCCAATAAAGCTAACAGAAAGGTCTTAGATTCTCTCCTAGATATACTTCCTTTTATCTGACAGTGATATTTCAGAATGAGCTTACATGGAATATTGCTATAGCATCAATTATATTCTCAGCAATGATATCACCTCTAGGTAGTGGCTTTCTTCCCAAGAGAAGCTGTCATTCGAAGGACACGATATTATTGGTCATGAAATTTGATATCTAATCAACTCAAGATAAGGCTTTTCTATTGACAGTTTGAAGAACTGGAAAGAAAGAAAGGTTTAGAAATAGGACAGGCTTCTTTCTACATTAAGATTCCCCTTCTGCTTGTTTCCCATTTTCACTTGTAGTGTTATCACAGCTGTATTTAGTACTCCCAAAAGAAAAAAACAACCACCATTATACCACACACCACATAAGAAGGCAGAAGAATGACCCATATCACAGCAAACAAATCAAAAAACAAATCAAAAATCAGTAAAATCAAAATCAAGTTTTCACAGGAGAGAACAGACTATGCAGTTGAGTCACGCTCAGTCCAACTCAAATGCAAAAATTAACATTTGCAGTAATTGTATCTCTCTATCAGCTGTATAAGCATTGCCCAAAGGATCCCACACTTCTAGGACATATTACCTAACTAGCACAGGCAATATTTAAATATCCCCTCTTGGTGATATTTCTGACCTCCAGTGGAAGATCCAGATTCTCAAATGAGATAACTCTGCCACATGAGCTCATTTTACACCAGTCATGATTTCAGCAACAGATCATTATCTGTAGCAGAGTCCGGATAGGACTGAATGTGCCCAGTGACTACTTGGTAAGGACCCTGGGTTCAACATCCACCTCTTCTGATGGGCTGAGACATGGTCATCAACTCGTCTTTAAGATGCAGACATGAATATTTAAAGGCTTTGGAAATGCTGTGATGACTAATTAACATTGGCAAGAGTCCAACAATCTTCAAGTTAGTCACATGAACATGGAGTGGCAGAAATATCAAGGGGTGATCAAATTCCCCACTCTGCGTCAAGACTGCCACGCTCAGAAGATTTTACAAAGTTTTTTTGGCTTTATGCCACAGCAAACTGTTACCCGGAGGGTTTTTTGTTTGGATTGTTTGTTTGTCTCTTTATTTTTTTTTTAAGGCAGAAAGGTAGGATTCAAACACTGTTCAAATTCACTATGCATTAGCTAAACTCCCTTTCTGTCCTCTACCTGCACTAGGTCACCTTGACAAAGGCTTAGAAATAGAAATCTTGTGGTCTGCGGTCTTTCTGAGCCAGTTAATATGAAGCCACCCACAATTCTGTTGGCAGGAGTTGTGTGAAGCTTTTCCCAGCCAGGACCTCATCTTTCCATGATTTACATACATGGTTATAACAGTTCCAAAAAATGATCAGGCCTTCAATAAAGTTTTGGCAAGAACTGTTGTAAAGAATGAATTTTGGAAGGCCCAACTTAATTTATTTTGATGAACTTTTTCTTTTCCTATGAGCAAACTCTCCAACACTGTAAATCCCAGAGATTATGATAGTGTTTTGCCCTCTAAGGCCTCCTTTTAGTTCATATTTGATTAATGTCACCCAATTATTTGCTGTGAGCTCATCTGTCATGCTCAGTACAGAATTAGCTGGGTTTGTCTTTTTCCTTCTCCTTTGCTAATGACTGGTTCGTTAATCTGTTTTTCTGGATTTCTATTTTATGTGTTTAATTGGGCTTCTGGCCAGTGGAAATGATTCTTTCGGACAAATGTGTTTGTCATTAAACACATTTGTCTTTCCTAACCTGTGCTCTTTCTTCCTCCCTCTGCTCATGATCTATTACTTTTCTTTAATACTTCCACATTTTGTTTCAAGACAAGTCTGGTCTTACTTATATCAGTTGACACTTAAGAACAGCAAGAAGTTTCTCTGTAAAAGCCCTGAAAGTTTCAGTATGCTGGCTTATCCCCCTCCTGACCTGCAATGGGACAGAGCGCATCAAACATAGAAGACAACAAATATGTTCACAAGGCTGCAGAGAATTATAGAAAATCTCTCGGAATCTATTCATCTCCATAATTTCTGTGACAGGTCTAGCATTCTAATGGCATCCTGGAACTGTGTTCTCCACCTCCACAGGGTGCCCTGGTGTATTGGGTCTGGCTGAGATGGAGTT